AACTCTTTGGCAAAGTCTTTACCTACAATCGTCGTTACTCAGGCAATTCTGACAAGTATTCATCTTCGTGCCACAATCTAGTGCCGGTCGATATCGCAGAAGCAGGACTTCTATACGCTGGCATAAAGCAGGGTTGGAACAGCTTAGCCTCGTTGGAATGGAAGAAAAGTCCAGCGCTTACTATTCTGAAACAGGTCGACGAGTTGCTGTTTGTTCATTTACCCAATGTAGAGAGGCTGGCTGTGGCGTATAAGAGCTTCAAACTGCTCAAGGTACGTCGACGCCAGCTCACCATGCATGAAGCATGCAAATCAGGAAGCTAACCTGCGTACGGTAGTATTATCTGAACGCAAGAAAAGAAGAATTAGACAGAGTACCCGACTGGCTCCGTCCAAGGTAACCTTCTCACCTAGCTACCCACCCGCATGCATTCCCTTATGCCACGCGAGCCGAGTTCACTCCTTCGTCTGTCCGTCCGTCCGTCTGACACTACGATCAGTTTCTCACAGTCATCCACGGCCCACCCCATCGCCCTTGACTTCTTCGCCTGGCCCACCCTCCGCTCCCGCCTCTTGAATAACCATGCCACGATCTTCCAAAACACCGATCTCTCATGCTGTTACTCGCGCTATCTGCGCTTCGACTGGCCTTTTCCCATTGAAGACGCTTTCTTCCTCGATGATAGCAGTGGAAACCACTACCCCAGTCCTCTGTTTGAGCGATACCACGGGGATCTGAAGTATTGGTCGGTAGACGAAAGATTCTTTGACACGTTTCCGGAGATGAAGGGGGATATTGAGGGGGACCGGTGCAGGGGAGGATGACTGTATGTTGAATCAACCAAGGTAATTGCGTTGTCCATTTGATGCTATATTAGAGATTGACCATGATGGAGAAATATGCCATGTTCGCTATCTATGCTGTACCAGTACATTGCCACCCTGTCCGTTCCACTAGTACTGGCCAGCCGCCGCTTGACACGCCTTGAGCTGGTCCAAGTACCAACCACAGATAGTCAGACTACCTTGGTTCTCATCCATACATTTGCGAAAGGTCTGAACATCGTTTGCGCAAGGACCGGACTGCGCCATTTGGGCGGATGCGGTGTCGGCGGGCTGGTGCTGGGCAGAGAACTCGGTGTTCTGAGGCGAAGCTTCGGCGGGGGCAGATGAACCGCCTCCGAACCAGCCTCCGACAGCGTGGCCGATAGAGGAACCTACTGCGACACCGCTGTTGCGAAGGTCAGCGACGAAAACGCATGTTGGTGCATTGGGCCGGGTTGGGATGCAGAGAGTATCCGCGTAGTGGCAAACAGGTAGCGCAAAGGTGGGTGCTCAGGATCTACTTACGCAGCAGTGCTGGCCATTTGCCCAAACAGACCGGGTCCCTGCGGCGTGGGAGCTTGCGCCTGTTGCTGGGGAGGCGCATGAGCGCTGGCTGGTGCGTGTGGGGGAGCTGCCGCCGTAGAATGAGGGCGCGAAGGAGCGGGCGCACGGGCAGTGGTTGCTTGCTTCGCGGCTGGGACCTGCGGGCGACGAGGAGGAGCGGTCCCAGAGCGTTGACGAGGCATGTTGAGCGATTTGGTGGTGGGTTGTGCGTTGCAGGTAGACTCGGGTGTGGTGGCAGGCAATGGGGATGGAAGGCATCGACATGGCGATTTCAAGCCGTTTATTAGTGCACCATTGGCTTGGCGCAGGTGGGTATATGGCCGGCTTCCGCATCAGCTCATTGGCTATCAAGTGCCAGCGTAGTAAGAGATATACATCTTAGAACAGCCTTGATTATCACACAAATAAAGTATAGTAAGAGAGATATCTACTAGTAGGAAGCTAGCGAGAAAGCCCAACAGCTATTCGTGACGGCTACTTTACACTTGTCCATCAAACTGTGCCCTGACAGAAACATCACAACATGGTGTGCCACGTCCGTTTGCCCGGTCCAATCTAACAGACATCTTCGACCTCGACGTCACCACCACTCTTTGGCCCGAGGTCACTTCGCAGCGTCCGATCGAAAAGCTCCTTGAGCATCTCGAAACAGATCCCCGACAACGCAGCATCGTACCGGCCCTTGCTAAGTTCGTCGCGAATGAAAGCGTCTATAGCGTATGAGTGTTGTTTCCGTAGTGGCGCTGATACAGAACTCACGCTGTGCCCAAGCTGGCTCATAGAATGAAAATGTTACTCCAGTCGAATGCAATCTCTGTCTAATCAAATCCCTACCCTCGGCTGGGACATGAGTGTCCATCTTACCAAAGATCATAACCAGTTCTCCTTTGATGTCTTTGGTGCGAGCGAGTGAGTCATCGTTTTTACCCTTGCCCAACGTGGAGCTGTGGATATCGGTTGCGAAATAGCAAATTGCACTGGAGATGCGGGGATCGAAAGCGCAACGATAGGCTAGATGACCGCCTAGGCACATGCCTGCTTGCGGTTAGCCTGAATCGATGGGAACGCTGCAGCTTGGGGGCATAATGGAGATGGGGCTGGATAAAGACAAGATAAAATATAGTGGCAACGCACCGGTAGCGCCAACACGACCGTTACACGTTGGCAATTCAAGCAGTGTGTCAATGGATAGCGTGGCGTCTTCGTCATATGCTTCGACTGTCTTGGTGATTTTCCATTCGTTCCCAGCATCTGTACCCGGACCGTCGTACGCTAGAGGCTCGGAGCCGGTAAACTCGTGGTAGGAGGACGGTGCTGCGACGATATAGCCTCGGGAGGCTATTTGACGGGCAAAGCGAGCAACAGGCCCAGTGACTTGTCAAAGCTCAATTAGTAGATGAAATAGGTAGCGCAGACGGATGATGGGGACACATAGGTGGTCGTTGAAGAGTAAAAAGATGAATGATGAGGTTCATGTGGTGAGCGAGGTAGACGAGAAGATTTGACGTCGAGCAAGCAGGCGACTATATGTACCTTGGTATATCTCAGAGAACACAACGACAGCCGGGAATTTGGCCTTCGGGTAGTTGGCAATAGTAGGGTGGAAGATGAAGACCCCTGGACGGCGAGCATACAAATTAGCCTCCGTGTAACAACCTTCTCGTGACACCCATGGACGGCACACCTGGGCACGCAGTAACATACTCATATCACCACCTGCCTTGGTAGGTACATCTTTGTGTGTCTCTATAAGGAGCATTGCGTGTTTCTTGTCTTGTTTGACCTGAGCGTTGTTTGGCTATTGGTAAGGCTGCGGCGTACGTGTTTGTGAAGGTGGTTTTGAGGTGGGGTGGTGGGGTAATGTTATGCGCACGGTCCAGGCGACATTGAAGCACATGCGATGCAGAGACAACCAGCGTCTCTATTATGCCACGAGGGGTTTGAGAAATTAAATGTCAGAACTGTGCTGATGCAAATGCCGCGAGTGTGATGAAAACATCTGCCATGCCATTTTTTATTATTGGGGTTGGCTTTTGCAGTTCATTCGACCTTCGCCGCGGTGGTTTCTACCTGACATGACCTCGGGATGCTGAGAGTGACAGATCGCAGAGTTGGTTTGCGGCTATGAGTACATGGTAGTCTGGGAGAAAGATATCAAGTCCATGTGACGACGTGCATTGCTGGAGGGCCATATCAGGGATCTGATAACATTTTCATGCGAGTTGGAATATCTACAAAAGCTTGTCCCAAACTACGGGTACCCAGTGGGTCAGTTCAGTAGTGTTGGTGGAGGCCGTCTAGGGGACACATGCGAGGTGATGTCAATCCCGAGCTAGACGGGGAAGGAGAAAAGAATAGCGACTTGAGGGACGGAGAGGTACGGGCTTGGTACGCTGCACCGAGAGGTGACGAAACGGTCGAGTGGGATTCATGAGGCCTCACCGCCAATGGCGCCAGTTCGGCGGCAGACTTGCGACGGTCGTGATGTGACTAGAGGAGAATAGCGAAGGGTTGCAGAGCAGACATGGACTAGCTGCACCGACAGTCGAGCATGCGATAGTGCAAGCATGCGACGTGTGCGCGAGGTTCTTGAGAGTAGTCATGCGGGAATCCCGTGGCTGGGATGCTTGGGCACCTAGTGTTCGAAGGGTATGAGGCCCAAAAACACCCAATGGTTCTGTGCGTACGTCGATGCCACGAAACGGGCCGGGCGGTGTGCTTGGCCTCCTGCTCGATGTGTGCGCGGACGTCACGCACACCTGGCCGTGTCTTGACTGCTGGATCCCGCATGTCGCACGGCGTTGGGGACGATTGACGGCAGCCACATCTCGCGAGATTCCTCCAGGGTGCGCGGCGCGAGCCAATCACGTGTCTACCAGCTCTTGACTTGACTTTTGATGCCAAACTCGACCCTCGAAGCTTGCACTCCAACAAGGCCGCTCCCCGGCGCTTTCACCGTCGTCTCTTGCTTGCTTGTTCCCGCAGACTCAACGCCCCCCTCGACAGCACCGGGCGTTCCAAGGCGGCAAGCCGTGTTGGGGAAGCCATCCAATTTCCCAGGTGCTCGCTCGACTGCCCGAGCCCCACCCAAGCCCATTGTCGAGCACCGTTGTGCTCGTCCCCAACGCGAAGCAGCGCTGGTTTGGTCGGTTCCTGTTGTTGCACACGCCCGTCCCGCGCCTCCGCTGCCGCAGTCGCCGCGCCAGTCTTTGGCTCGCCGCCAGTACTCGCCGCCTGGCCTGGCCGCGCTGTGTGTGCTGCGGATTTGGAAGCCCTGGGCAGCTCTGTCCTGCGCCGCTGCATATCGTGCTGCCTGTCCGCAGTTCCTTGCTTCTACCTCGCGCTCCGTAGGTCGAGTCCAACCCCCGCCGCCAAGACTTTCTTCGCCAGCATCCCAACCATGACTGACTCTCACTCTACTCTACCCTCCTCTGTGTCCCCAGTGCCTCGCTGACTGGCGCAGTACCTAGGTCGCCGCTACCGCCCCGGAGGCACCTCGTCCCCTCCCTCCACGGCCCTCGCACCGCGCCTTCCCTCCCAGTAAACGTCGTGTTTTGCTACGACAGCCCCGGCGCCCTACATGCAGCCGTCGTTGTCTGCGGCTTTCTCATCATGGATACCGAGGATGGCCACGTCTTCATAAGGGTGCGGTTCTCAATGACTGGCCTTGCTCGGAACATGCGTTGACACGGCTCTAGAACCTGGCTTACTTTGTACGAACCCACGAAAAGGCCCTCGCCAACGCCCTGCAACTGCAGCGGCAGATGCCCAAGAATGGCCAGGCCATTATCTCACCCTCGTCTCCCAACGGCCCCGCTAGTCCGCCCTCATCCTCGTCGTCAAGCGTCTGGGCCGCCGCCCTGTCTTTGCCGTCCCTGACCTTCACCTCACAGTCCATCAAGCCAGCCAAGCTCACATTGACGCCCCACCATCTCTTCTACATCCTTTCACGATTCGAGGAGCTCGGCATACCTGTTGGTCCCATGAATGTGCGACTGGAGAACATCCACACGGACGCTTCACCCGCAAACTATGTCTCGTTCCTCGGCAGCGCTCAGCGCAGCAAAACAAAGTCTTCCGACCGCGACTCCATACATTCAGTGTCGAGCGTTCGCAGTGTCATGTCAGGCATGTCCTCGCTTTGGTCCACCTTTCGCATTGGATCAAACAGTGAAGCCAAGGCAGAGAAACAGAAAGTTCAACTCCAAGAAGACTTGCGATATCTCTACTCTGCATTTACTAAGATTCCCTGCCTGAGGCTGTCTCCTGACCACAAAGCCCGTCTCATTGCGGGTTATGAAGAATTTCCCTTCGACACTGCCGTCCCTTTGTTCGCTTTCAAGAATGTCACTGCGCTTGAGATTCACGATGTAGACTTTCGGCAATTCTATGGCTGGGACCGCCTGGCCGAAAACCTTCGCAGTCTTACTGTCAAGCGAGCAGGTGTTGACGATCCCGCTGACCTTCTTATCAATGTCGTCTTGGACGACATGGACAAGCGTCGTAGACGGTCGGCAAAGACACACGCTTCTTCCGCGCCTTGGTCTACCGCAAGCCCGTCCGCCAAGGTTGGTCAGTTGGCGCCATCAGAATCTCCACCACTTTCCCCTACCTCCGCCAGTAAACAGAGCACAAGCCCAAGAAGCGCGGTCGTGGCGCCGGAGAATTCGTCCAAGACGCGCCAGCGACAGCGCAGTACCTCTCCCACGCGGCCCCCAAGCTCTCGTCATGGTTCGTCCCATGCCTATGGTCGAAGCACTACAAATGCACCCAACATCCGCCGCTCGTCTGGGAGTTCTAGTTCTAGCGTGCGCTCTACCACCCCAAGAGGCAGCTCCTCTAACCTCCTCTCCATGGGCTGGTTTCCTGCAACCAAGTGGCGCTTCTTGCGACATCTGAGCTTGGCCGACAATGCTCTGACCAACATATCAGTTGCAAGTCTGGCTCCCTTGGCAAACACATTACAGTCTCTTGATATTTCTGCCAATTTATTTGCTGAGATTCCTGACAGTCTTGCCAGCCTGACCTGTTTGCGCGCACTGAACCTGTCCAATTGCATGATTGACAGCTTGCACTCTTTGGGTCGTAACCCGCTGCCAGCCATCACGACGCTCAACCTTCGTTCCAACCGCTTGACATCGTTGGCTGGTGTTGAGCGACTGCTATCTCTGGAGCGGGTCGATTTCCGTGATAACAGGTTGACTGATCCTACAGAAGTTGCGCGACTGACTGGTGTTCCCGACATAACTGATATCTATGTCAATCGCAATCCGTTTTGCAAGACGCACTCCACCTACAGAGTGACCATTTTCAATCTGTTCCGCAAGACGCCAGGCTATACGGAAGATATTGTCATCGATTCTGTAGGACCTAGCAATGCCGAGAAGAAGCAACTCGTTGACCGAGTTCCCGAACGCCATGGTGTTCCCATCGTTAAGCCGCCACCCGAGGATGACTCGCAACCCCCGCGACACGTACCACCAAAGGTTGTCAAATCTGTCGATACTTCCTCCGACATAACAGGTGTGCTTCAGCGTACCGGTTCCCTGCAACGTACCAAGAGTGGGCGCAGTGCACAAGGTTCCCAAAAGAAGAAGAAGGGCCCTAAAAGGAGAATTGTCGAGCTCTCTCAGACCGACTCGCTGCAGTCGTCATCGCACTCTAGTTTGACAGGGTTGGCATACGAGGATACTGTCGTCGGACAAGCCCCTAAGATCACGAAGACAGCAAGCAACACATTGGCCACGGATACGCCCCGGCTTGTAGAGCCGTCTAAGGGACAAGTTTCTGGGGATCCTACCAAGAAGAGTATTTTAGAGGAGCGTACAGTCGCACACGAACCTCACACAAGCCACCAACAGTTGCCCTCAATCGATACCGCACCCCCGACCAAAACCGCGGATCCGGAATCAACGGAATTCGACGTCGGTGAGGACTTGTACAAGAAGAAGATCGAAGCCCTTCGGCAAGACTTCGGTAACACATGGCTTAGCGCGCTAGGAGACGAGAGCTGGGACAACACGTCGGTCACTAGTTTTCCTTCGGATCGTGGGTATAGCTCCCCTACCATGCGGCCAACACTACCTCGTACACCGAGCCAAAGCATCGTTTCTGGTCGTACACTTGGCTGACCTAATTTCCCCCGATCTGTCCACTTGCGATACCCAAAACAATTTGTTCGCTTTGCCAGACTCGCACTGCAGCTTCCGGAAGCGGACGCTTTTGTCTATACAGTTTGTTCATCAATTTATTCACGGGACTTCGGGCAAGGCGTTGGATAGATGTAAGTCGAATTTGAGCGTCGCAGTTTGTCACGCTCGTGGGACCGATCGAGACCATTTTCCGAGGGTGTTTCGACCTTACCGGCGGGATCTCTTCCTCTCCCTTGTCAACAGGCGGTCGTGTTGCATTTCTGCGTGTTCTCCTCTGGGAGCATAACGGCCATGTTCCTGGTTGAATGGATAGTGTAAGATAACTTCTATGCCGGCGCACTGTAGGTTGGTTGCCCGTTACCTTTGGCGATGAGTGCGTAGCTTCTTGTTCCCTTTGTGTTGCTTGTTAGCGTCGTCTACGTTCTGGTGAGGGAGCCCAAGGAAGAAGGCAGGCGTTGGTTGATCTATTGCATCATGAAGCGCGCATTAGCAGTGAATGCTCACATGACTACAAATACAATAGCAGTTTCCTCGCAGATGGTGCACACGTTCAGCATGTATTGTTGACTACTGCGACATGTAAGATGTATGTAACGCGTGAGGTGCTGCCGGCGCTCAAGCGGGACATTGATTGGAGACGGCAAACACAGGCAAAGACTGGGTTGGAAACGGGGTGAGAGTGAAGGGCTTCGGCAATAGCTGGAGGAGTAGATACACCCAAGCCAGAAGCTTTGCGCAGATCAGAGACTCGCGAACAATTGCACCCTCTACAGTTGATTCCGCAAGGCAGTCGAGACGTCTGCAACCTCTCCCAGGTCCGACGCGCGTCTGTGTTGGGCTAGCACGCTCTGGTGCCAAGGCAGCCCCGGCCTAGGACTAACTGAAACGCTGCAAAACTACTACTCGGGCGGCGCGATCCTCTCACCACCGCAACCCAACCCGGCCTACAAATCAGCGTATACAAACACTTCGCGCGCGATCCCATAGGTATACTGTGTTGAGCAGTCGCACGCCGTTCGCCCCCAGTGTCCTCGCAGCCAGACCGTCCCCGCTTGCTACAGGCGGTGAAGTTACTCTTAGCATCCCACTCGACAGGCTTCCGGTCACAACAACGCCTCAGCGGCCCCCCCACCCACTGCACCGCACTCGCCTGCCCACGACGCAGCAGCAGCCCGCACAGGTATCGCCGTCTCAACAAGCACAATTGACCAGCGCACATCGCAGCCGCCCCACTCGTCGCGTGATCCCAGCTCTGCCGCCAGGCGCTTTTGAGGGGCTTTGAGCCATACTCCACCCGCCCATAGCGTCGACCACCCACGACCCGATCCGGCCGACTCTTTGAGATCAGAGGTACGTCGGCGTTCCCATGGGAGCCCCCAAGGCATAGGGCACTGCTAACACGCCCGGTGCAGGAGAATTACCGCCAGTGCTACGCGCAGCCGTCTCCCACCCACCCGCGCGAGGTCTTCCCTTGCACCTTCAGCCACCCACACCAGTGCCAGTAGCAAGTCCCAGCTATGGCCGAGAACGAGGTGGACCTGGACTCCATCATAGACCGTCTGCTCGAGGTCCGTGGCAGCCGGCCTGGCAAACAGGTACAGCTGCTCGAGACGGAGATCCGCTATCTATGCACCAAGGCACGCGAAATCTTCATCTCACAGCCTATCCTGCTCGAGCTCGAGGCACCGATAAAGGTCAGTCACAACGCGCAGTGCTGCGAAGCCCGAGATCTGGCTTCTGAGCACCTACTGACTGCTTTGCCTTCCAGATTTGCGGAGACATCCACGGCCAGTACTATGATCTGCTGCGGCTCTTCGAGTACGGCGGCTTCCCTCCAGAGGCCAACTACCTCTTCCTAGGCGACTACGTCGACCGTGGCAAGCAGTCTCTCGAGACGATATGCCTTCTGCTGGCGTACAAGATCAAGTACCCCGAGAACTTCTTCGTCCTCCGTGGCAACCACGAGTGCGCCTCCATCAACCGCATCTACGGCTTCTACGACGAGTGCAAACGAAGATACAACATCAAGCTGTGGAAGACGTTTACCGACTGCTTCAACTGCCTACCCATTGCCGCCATCATCGACGAGAAGATCTTCACTATGCACGGCGGTCTCAGCCCAGACCTTAACTCGATGGAACAGATCAGGCGCGTCATGCGACCCACGGACGTGAGTCAGGCTCAAATTGCAACTGCAACTGCAACTGCAGTGCCCATGAAGCGTACAGGCTAACAAGGACAGATTCCCGACTGCGGTCTCCTCTGCGACCTTCTCTGGTCCGACCCAGACAAGGACATTACCGGATGGAGCGAGAATGACCGAGGTGTGAGCTTCACATTCGGGCCCGACGTAGTATCGCGCTTCCTGCAAAAGCATGACATGGACCTCATCTGCCGTGCGCACCAAGTTGTCGAAGACGGTTACGAGTTCTTTTCCAAGCGCCAGCTCGTAACACTGTTCAGCGCACCCAACTACTGCGGTGAATTTGACAACGCTGGCGCGATGATGAGCGTTGACGAGAGTCTGCTGTGTTCCTTCCAGGTAAGCTCTAGGCGCACAAGGTTATGTCGAACAGGTACTAATGGGGTATGCAGATTCTCAAGCCCGCAGAGAAGAAACAAAAGTACGTCCCCAGCCTTGGCAGCGGCAGAGCAGCGTCTCCTCGCACCAAGAAAAGCTAGAAGTAGCCATGACCACACTCATTCAGAATCAATACGAACTTCTCTTACAGCAGGTTTGGGCGTCGTTAGACGATGGCAATCGTTAGCCCACCCCCGAGACCCGATGCCGAACGACGCGAAACACGCTCCATCTCGATTTCCTTACCCCCTTTCAGCCATGGGCTTGCGGACGGCCGTTGGCATTTGTACACAATCCTGTCGTTGATTCTTGCCATTCCAGTACCGTTACACGCACACGACGACAAAGGACACGACGGTCGGCCCTCTCTTTCCCGGACGATTCAACGACGACGACGGTGGCTAGCCTTGGCGTTTGGCATGGTTGGCGGCGACACAAGAGGGCGGATATCAGAGCATTGTTTTATGTGGACGTCACAGGCAACAGCACTGGAGAAAGCGCGGAAAGGTCGAAGGGGGGAAAGACATGGTGGACAACATGGGGGAATTCACCGCTGGCTCGCGGCTTGTCATGACGGGGTGCGAGACGTCGATGCGATAATGTCAGTCGTTTTCTTTTCTCTTTGTGTCGCGTTTGAACAAGCAGCCTTTTGGGGATGAAGCATGTAAGCTAGTGTGGAATGGAGTATGCGTATCCCTTGCTCGTGGTTGGCGTGTTTGCCATGGTGACCAAAGTGGATTGGATCAGCGTGCGACAGTGTCCGTGTCAGCCACTTGGGTGTGGCGGTGCAGAAAAGCAGGCCTGCAGCAGGCAAGGGCGGGCGCGGGCGGCGGGATGGCCTGTGTGTGATTGGCGGCGGCGCGCGCGGGGGCTTGGGAGGCGATCTGAGCGTAGGCGCCCGACGCGAGCGTCGTCGTCGTCGTCGTCGTCGTCGTTGTTCGAAGGTCCATCACGCAGTGTTTGTCAGACGCTCTTCGTCACGTCACTCCTTGTCCACCCCGTCGGCCGGCCGCGCCCTCGTGCTGTTTCGCTCGGTTGGATTCTGTCATGCCTGCGACGACATAGCACATTGCCTGCATCGCCATCTGCCATGGCCGAGTACTCGTACGTCCACGTTGGCCGAGCGAGGCGCTGCGTGGGCCATCGCTAACGTCCATTCTCCCACCAGCTTCATAGCCCACTCGGCCCCCTGGGTCCACGGCTCAGGTGCAATGACGCCCTCGCGACTGCGCTCTCTGTCGCCCATGCCCAAGAGCCATGTCACACGATCCATGTCGACACCACAGCTCGCCAAAACCGCCCAGTCGCAATCGCAGTCCGAAAGCGACGGCATCAACACCATCCCCGACCCGCGCTCGGCCACTCCACAGCCGCCTCTGTCGCGCCACGACTCGACCGACTCGCACCCCGACCTCAGCCAGGAAGTCTCGACCCTCAGCACCAAGCTCATCAACGCCATCAATCACTCCACCATGCTCGACGATGCACTGCAGCAGACGAGACACGAGCTCGACGCCGCGCGCGAGAAGCTGGCCCACCTCGAGGCCCAGGTCAAGGCCCATGAGGCCAAGCTCTCCACGGGGCTGCTGGTGGACAAGGTCGTCTACGACAAGATGGAGAAGCAGCTGTCCACGGAGCTGCGCGAGGAGCGCAAACGCAGAGCCCACGCAGAAGCTGCCAAGCGCAAGACGGACAGCGAAGTCGAGGCCCTGACGGCTGCCCTGTTCGAAGAGGCCAATGTCATGGTTGCAGCTGCGCGCAAAGAGACGGAGGCTTCGGAGAAACGCGGCGAGCAACTCAAGCAGCAGTTGGGCGACGCTGACGTCCTGCAACACTCCCTCCAGGACCAGCTGCACGATCTCAAGGCCGTTGTCGAGAGGATGAGCTCTCATGGCGACGACAACGAAAGCCACGCTCTCACTGCAACCACCGCTCCGTCAACACCAGGCATCGCTCCGGCCGACAAGATGAGCAAGCTGTTCGAGGCCATGAACCTGACACCCACCACGCCGGGAACCGACGACATCAGCCCCGATCATCCCCTCCACTTTTCGCATCTTATCCATCCCGTACTACGCTCCGATCTTGCCGCTTTCAACGAGTTTCAGGACATGCTCAAGATCAGCGCCCGTTCCTCTGCCCCAGCAAGTCGCGCATCCAGCGGCAACTACAGCAGCCTGAATGTGCTGGGACTGGCATCACTGACCAACAGCTCCACCACGTCGCTGCCCTCCAAGTCGCCCACCTCGGCTACCAACTCACCTCGCGAATCTGTAGCCACTGCTGGTATGCCCAACCTCAAGGACGAGAAGTTCTATAAACGTGCTCTGGTCGAGGACATAGAGCCAACACTGCGTCTGGATATCGCCCCCGGTCTCTCATGGATGGCACGCCGCACGGTAC